CCAGATTGCAGGCACTTCAGGGTAAGATGAACAATTTTATATGAGTCTCCTTTTATCTGAATAAAATATGTTTCACCAAACTGTCTGTTTTCAAACATGCGTGCTACTGATGCTGATGTTGAAATGACTGGTGTGTCATTCAGTTTGAGGAGCAGGCCATGTTGGATTTGAGTGACCATACTGACCATAGAAAGTGGACACAGCAGCATCTGGATGCAGCTGACCTGCGTATAGCATCCATTGCCCCTACCCCTCCTCAGGGGGAGATTGAGAACGATTGCATGGATGTCAATGTCAGAGGACCAGGTGTGTATACTTACAAGCTCAGAATCTTTCACTCATTTATTTTTTATCACAGTGTATCATTAAACGATTCTAAAAGATATTGTGACCTCCTGTGAACGATGAGAGACACATGATTGTGAATTCATTATAAACTTCTCCCTTCCTCTCTCAGATGGTTTCACTCCCCTGATGATTGCCTCCTGTAGTGGTGGAGGCCTGGAGACTGGTAACAGTGAGGAGGAAGAGGATCCCTCAGCAGAAATCATCTCTGACTTCATTTACCAGGGAGCTAACCTCCACAACCAGACTGACCGCACAGGCGAGACTGCCCTCCACCTAGCTGCCCGATATGCCCGCTCTGATGCTGCTAAATGCCTCTTGGAGTCCAGCGCTGATGCCAACGTTCAGGACAACATGGGCCGCACACCACTTCATGCTGCTGTGGCTGCAGATGCACAGGGAGTGTTCCAGGTAACTGTTCCTCTTCAGGAGTTCGGCCTTTCTTCAGGCATTGATTTTTGACAAAGTTTGTGCACAAACTTGAAGGCACTTAACTAAACATGTGTGTATGGCCACACAGATTTTAATCCGAAACCGTGCCACGGATCTTGACGCCCGCATGCATGATGGAACAACACCGCTGATTCTAGCTGCCCGGTTGGCAGTTGAGGGCATGGTGGAAGAACTTATCAACTGCCATGCTGATGCTAATGCCACAGATGATTCTGGTAGCTAACATTTTTATCAACCTATGAACTCTATAGTCCATAAAGATTCCTCAATGTACTGGGTTATAATGAGCCCTCTTTCTTGTCATTCTCTACAGGTAAATCTGCTCTTCACTGGGCTTCAGCTGTGAACAATGTGGAGGCTGTCACGGTACTGCTGAAAAATGGTGCCAACAAAGACCTGCAAGACAACAAGGTATGTGAAATGATATGACTGGCGTTAAGCTATTTCACAGGTATTTGGACCCTTACATTCACAGCAATATACCTAGTGTATTAACTGTTTTGTTTGCTTTTTAGGAAGAGACACCACTCTTCCTCGCAGCTCGTGAAGGCAGCTACGAGACAGCTAAGGTCCTTTTAGAGCACTTTGCTAATCGTGAGATAACCAACCATCTTGACCAGCTGCCCAGAGATATTGCCCAGGAACGCATGCACCATGACATTGTTCGTCTCCTGGATGAGTACAACATTGTCAGGAGTCCTGGGCTTCACAGCACCCCACTAAGCACCTTGAGCCTCTCCCCGCCTCTCTGCTCCCCTAATGATTACCTTAGCAACCTCAAACCCACCCTTTCTGCCAAGAAGGTTCGCAAGCATAGCTCTGGTGGAAAAGGAGGAAAGGATGGGGGCAAAGACAACAGAGTGAAGAAGAAGAAGACGCTGGATGGGAAGAGTAATTTGCTGGACACGTCAGCTGTCCTCTCTCCAGTTGATTCCCTTGAGTCACCCCATGGCTACCTATCTGATGTGGCCTCTCCTCCCATGACATCGCCCTTCCAGCAGTCCCCACCTATATCTCTAAATCACCTACAAGGCAATGCAGACTCCCATATGGGCCAGATGAGCATGGGTAAAGATATGGGCTGTATGTCTTTTGACCCTAACCCACCCCGTCTCTCTCACCTGCCTGTGTCCAGGCCCAGCAGTCAGGGTACAACATCTATAGGTGGGAGCAGAGGAGGCCAGTGTGACTGGGTCTCCAGGATGCACCCAGGTGTAGGTCAGCAAGGAAGCTTCACACAAGCGCCACCCATATCCCACAACATCATGGGTCCTCTACATGGCGTCAGCACTGCCACTCTATCTCAGATCATGGGCTACCAGAATCTGCAGACCAGCCACCTCAGCTCATCTGCACACATGATGCAGCAGGCTCATTCACGACAGCTCCAGCACCAGAACTCCAACTCCACTACAGCCAGCCAGTCCCTCAACCAGAGCTTCCCAAATGTCGAGCTGAACGGGTCTGACATGCAGCAAAACAACGGCTCAGGCCACTCTATGCCCATCCACACTATAATGCCCCAGGAGACGCAAATCCTCAGCACCCAGTTTCTCACTCCTCCCTCCCAGCACAGCTATTCTGGCCCCATAGACAACACACCTAACCACCAGCTACAGGTGCCTGACCACCCCTTTTTAACCCCCTCCCCAGGCTCCCCTGACCAGTGGTCCAGCTCGTCCCCACATTCCAACATGTCTGATTGGTCGGAGGGCATCTCCAGCCCACCTACAAGTATCCATTCACAAATGAATCTGATCCCAGACCAGTTTAAGTAGAGACTTGTGGAATGGACTAAGCTATTAAGTGACTATATATATATATACACACATACAAAGTTCACACAGAAAGAGAGTGACAAACCTGATTTAAGACTGAAGATGCTTCCTTTTAATGTCAGTTTTTATACTAACAATAACAATTTCATATTTATTTGTGCTTTTTTGATCTGAAATATAAAGAAGACGCTTTTATATTTATGCAACAATAAAAATGTTTTGTTTTGTTTTGTTTTGTTATGTATGGGGCAATTAGAAACTGTTTAATGGGAGTGTATATCAGAAACAAAGACTCCTAGATATGTACACTGGCTATTTATTTGTGTCTTGTGTTGCTATATTCACTGGCTTTATTTTAATCTTATAGCGCATTGGTCTTCACAAATTTTATTTTTGAGATTTGCATTGCCTTATGTTTGTACAGATTTTTTTTTCCAACTTTTATAGATTATTTTTAAAGTTTCAGTATTATTTAATTTTATTTTAACCTTCATTGTCTGTTTAAGTGATACAGGTTTTGTTACTGAACTACATTTCTCTAAGTCTTATCACTGAGTCTGTGTTAGATGATGATCAAATATGTATTTATAAAGTGTCACCTTTCATAATGTTGCTTAGTATCCTGACCTCTCTTAGCAAAGTGACAGAAAGTAACAGAGATACTTTGGAGATTTGGACCTTAAAGCAGCTGCTTTTTAAAATGTTTGGAAAATGGATCTAAATAAACCTGAGCCTATTTTTGTTGAATGATGGTTTGGACTGATACTGAGTTTTTGATTTGTGATGCAATGACTGTTTCATTATTTAATATTGTTTCCTGAATCAGTGATTGTGGTTAACATATGTTAAAGTGTTAAACTACAGACCTGTTGTAGAAAGTTGAAATGTTACATTCACCACAGTTTGGAGTAGTGTGATTTTTGCGTTTCATAAGAAAAGCAATGTCTAAAAAAATATCTTCAAGGTGGAGAACATTTTGTGAAAGAAATTCGGACCTTTGTGTATTACATACATTTTGTAAAGGAGTGTGGTTTAAAATGTCTAAATGTCATGTTTTATAAACTAATTCAGAGATAAAGATGTTTTTAAGAAAAGATGTAATTCAAAATCAATGCAAAGTTGTAGTTTGCAAAGTATTTCCTGATTAAAAATGTTTTGTAAAAATTGTCTTGATTCAATAAAAGCTACTGTCAAGTTTTAAGCTGTGGTTTCCTTTCTTGATTTTTATTCTTGATTTTCTTTATTTTTCTCCTTAAATATTATGTGGCCAACATTACGACCACCTCCTCCTTTGCAGCTGGTCATATTCAGTGCAACATCCATTGCAACAAGCGCACCCCATGATTGTAGGAGCTAGTGTCTGTTGCCCTCTAGTGGTGATACCATGTTTTTACTCTTGTAGGCCCATGTGGGCTGAGTGTCTGTAGGTTTATGACACTTCTTTTATTCATCTGAAAGTGGGTATGTGGCTAAGGGAGGACCTTGTTACAGTGGCCTAGGGAGAAACTGATGGTGTAGGGTGGTGTCCATAACTCTTTGCAGTATAGGACCAAATTTAGCTATAGGCATGCATGGATTATGAGACAATGGGTGCCTAGACACAGGCAAGATAAAGGCCCCTACCTATCCTACATTTCTAGGAGCCAGACTGACAGACTGAACAACCACGGGGCAGCTGTGGCTCAGGAGATAGAGTGGGTTGTCTCCTAACCAGAGAGTTGATGGTTTGAATCCCAGCTTCTCCAGTTCACATGTCTAAGTGTACAAGACACTGAACCCGAAGTTGCTCCTGGTGAGTGTGTGAATGGAAAATAGTTTTAAAAAAGTACTTTGAGTGTGCTTCATTGCACAGAAAAGCTACTTACAGGTATAATATTGTTTAACATGTTATTTGTATTCACTTTGTCTTCTTTTGTGTCCCTTTCTACTTGCTTTTTATGTCTGTTTGTAAGGATTTTGTGTACATTTTTTAAAAATCTTTTTGCATCTCTTTTCAGCTGCTTTGCAACTATTTTTACTCATTGTGTGCCTATATTTGTAGTTGTTTTGTGTGTCACTTCGTAGTTTTGCATATTTTGCTGTCTTTGGCGTTGTTTTCGGTCACTCTTTGTCAATTTTGTATTTCTTTGTAGATGCTTTTCCATCAATTTGTTCTCTTTATGCGGCTCTTTGAAGTGGTTTAGCAGTCATTTGACTAGGGGCACTCATTGACTGTACTGGGGCGCCCTGACCCCCTGGGCCCTTGGTCCTGTGTCCGGTAGGCCTGTTCAGTTATCCAGCCACGGCTACTACATTATTAAATCGTTGGAGCATCCCTTTAAGACAGGGTTTACAGCCTTTGCAGTATCATACACAGCCAGCCTACAGTATTACCCAGTACCACCTCTGTACAGCGCCCCCAGCAGGTGGACAGATGTATTTCAGCCGTTTGACGATAAACTCCTCGTCCCCATAGAGACAGGCTCCGATAACAGGCTGTCCAGGTACCGTTACACTGGTCCACTCCTACGGGCATTGGCAGTCTCAATATGAAACAGCCGGCTTTGGGACATTAATAATTTCCTCGAAAACAGACTTCCGGATGGTTGCCAAGCTGATTTTCTATTACTGGATTAAGGACCATCAGCCACCAGCAGCTTTATCCTGAGAGGCCGGAGATTTGTGTCGCTGGACAGGGAGGAGTCCTCCGTTATTTTACCGTTAGCTGAAGCCAGGCCAGCGTGTCTGCGTTTAAACAACACACCCATCTCCAAAGCTGTGGTGAGGACCAAATGAGCTCTTAGAGGTAAGTCTTTCTTATTTTTATCGGCTAATTTCGAGGTGATAGGCGCAGTTTAGCTAGCTAACCCAGTACAGTCAAGTAAACGGTGCTAGGTTAACGGTCAACCTGTCCAGCCTCGACTGGACCTAGCTAGAAAACAACTAGCAAATAACGTTATGCTAATATGTTGTTTAATTTTTGGAAGCTACTAAATACTTTATGTCTAAAAGTGCAGCTTTTCTTTCATTCCAATCTAACACATATTCAGTTGATCATCACTGTATGCACATAAACGGCGTTTGGGTGGGATTTAAAAGAACCTGCCTATGAATCTTGTTGACTGACAGCTCAGACCCCTGCAGCGTTAGCAGGTCAGACGAGGTGAGTATATGTGGACTATTTTTGTCATCACCAGAGCAGGTGCTACCAGTAAGCCAGGCCCTTGTTGTTGTTCGTAATATCGATGATGTAATGCAGCGAGTGGGACTGGCAGTTATGCTTCTGTGTCCTCCGTGCAGGATGGATGTGGAGGTGAGTGCTGCCAGGAGCAGCACCCGGAGAAGAGCACCGGCAGCAGGAGATGATGATGGAGGAGGAGGAGGTCTGGGGGCGCAGGTTGTACCGCTGGAGCGGTACGACTCTGCAAGAGCCAAAATAGACGCAAATCTTCGCTGGTTGTTTGCAAAAGCCTATGGTGTAGGTAAGGCGGCCTCTGTGTTTTTTGATACAAGCATCTAATGTGCAGGAACTGTAGCAGCATCTGCACGTTATATGGGGTTTGTGGAATATACCTGTAGACTTTATACAGTGGCATAAGCAGTTTACTTGAGAATGAAGCTACATCAGCCAAGGACCAAATAACAACAGACTTTTTTAACAATATATATCTATATCCTAGTCAACAAGCCTGACCAGTGGATTAGAATACTCATATTATCTGCTGATAAGCCCATCACATCGGTTTGGCATCAAGGAAAGAAATGTACAGTATGTCATTCTGATTCTGAAACATTAAAGATGATTGTTCTACATTGTCAGACTGTAAGTAAATGTCTGGAAATTACTCCTTGAGTGTGTGTATTTGTGTCACACTCTGGGGGAATGCTGTGCAGTTCATGCCGGCCCGGGGGTCTCTGTGATTTTATGTGGCCTCTGGAGTTAAACACAGCAGAAGAAAACTCTTCTGTCATCACATCTGTTTAATGAGCCAGACATATGTACAGTAAGTGTTTCTTTTTCTGGAATGCTATCTCCTATGCTGCAGTGGGTGACTCATGAAATTGACTCGGAGATGGAAAGTAAAAGTAAAAAATATGAGATAGATATGAGATTTAATGTTCCCAAATTTGAAATAAATCTGATTTCCACAACCAGAATTGCATCATATCAGTTTAGTATGACTGATATCACATTCATCTAACAGCTGGATTTTTTTTTTTTGCTTAGTGACAATGTTGGAAATATTGTGAGCTCTGCAATGTTGGTAACATCTTTACCTGCCTGTTTCCCAACTCTGTATTATTTCAGGGCAGAGATCAGATGCCCATAATAAACACCAAACCATCACCTTAACCCCTGTCAAGCTTCCTGCTTCCCTTAATCTGATTGGCTCCTCCTGATGCCAGTATGCCAGGGACACACTAGCTAACACAGGCACTAAATAAAGTGCCTTAATTCCCGTTTCACACAGACGGGACAATCCCAGATATTGTTTGAATTCACAGTTAATGTTATCTTAATATGATACAGTACATGCTTCTTATCACGTCAGCTGTAGCTTGTTTTAACCAATGAAGCGTCTTTACCTTCTGCTGTCTTTCATACTGAAGAAAATGACGCAAAGAATACATGCAGACAGTTGTTAGAACAGGTGGAACTTCACTGACATCATGTAGTGAAGTGCCAAGAAAGCATCTGTGGATCACTGAGATAAGTAAGTGCTTCCTCAGGAGCCATACATTAAAGCTATGAACTCAGTTAAACTAAAGAACCTGATAGGCAGATTCTGTATATCAGCTTTTTAATTTGTTTTCTGCAGGGTTAGACTTTCAGTCTCCCTATTGCCTCCTGCCTAAATCTACTGTAAACTAAATTTCATGAATGCATCAGGTGTTAACACTGGAGTAATATCAAGTCATATAAAGTTATAGACCGGTTTCTCTGTTGTCACAATTTTCAAAAATCTTGGAAAAACTCTTTAATAACAGATTAGACACATTTATTGATAGACATAAAATCCTCTGATTGCCAATATGGTTTTAGGTCGAACCGATCGACATCTTTGGCCATTACCGACCTGATGGAGGACATAAGTGCTATGGATGACAAGAAATACATGATGGGAATATTTATTGACCTAAAAAAAAAACATTTGACACAATCAATCATGAGTTATTAATGGATAAGTTAGAAAAATATGGGATCAGAGGAATGGTACTGAAATGGATTAAAAGTTATTTGACACAGAGGCGTCAATTTGTGAAGTTGGGTGAATATCAATCGAGTGAGCTGGATATTGTATGTGGAGTGCCTCAGGGTTCTGTTTTGGGACCTAAATTATTTATATTATACATTAATGATATATGCAAGGTTTCTGATTTAGTGAAAGTGGTTTTGTTTGCTGATGACACTACCATATGGGCATCGGGTGAAAACCTACAGCAACTCTCTGGACGGGTTTCACAGGAACTTGAGAAGATAAAGAAATGGTGTGA